AAATAAAGAATAAAATTCAAGTTCATTCTTAGAGAACAATCATTGTAAAAGAATAAAATTAAAGCTTCCCTGCCTTTTTTGGTTGTCTAGGTTTGATCAATTTGTAGGATTAAATGTGAAGAATATTCCCCTTCTTCATTCTGAAAGTTCTTCATTCTAAAAGAATAGTAGCCATCTTCAAACTAAAGCCCTTTTTATTCTAAAAGAATATTGCTCTCATTCTGAAAGAATTTTCAGGTTAACATTCATTTGGTAAAGCAAACAAGTTATATTACTGTAGGTGAAAATCAAAAATTATAAAGTTTGAAACCATTTAAAGCTAATGTTTGCAAACCTTTAAGTATTACTTAATTAACTAAAATATTAAAAAAAAAAAAAAGACAACATGGAAGGGATTTGCTGCCATATTAGCCAAGTTAATGATGATATTCACATGCAAACAAACAATAAATCATCACAAATCAAGGAATATGAATGGAATGGAATGGAAATATGGAATGGAGTCAGTCATTACCTTGAGAAGGTGCAGTAACATAATAAGCAAGACCACCAACTGGAACAGATTGCTCAGAGTATTCAGATTCCTTCCATTTTCCCAACATATTAACCAAGAAATTCCCACTGTACTTTCTGTGCACCAACTGAAAAGGAACAAAAACAACAATATAAGTAATTATTCAATTCAACAATACAAGCAACATTCAAAAGAGATGATATCATTAAAAAAAAAATTAATTCATTTGGATATAAATCTGAACACTTTCAACCATAAGAAAAAAAAATAAACAGGTGTATATGACATACCTGTAACCATCAATGACCAAGATAAAATGATGAGGGCGAATAAGACCTTCAATATTACTTAAAATATGATTAATTTGTCTACAAATTGTTCATCCATGGAAGCTATTTCAGACACCATATTCATGTTATCGCTAATTTGGAGTAGAATCAATCAAAAGGGAAGATCCTAACAAGTTGAGTCGATGGTGGTATAGAGCTCGACCCATAAATTTAAAACCTTAGGAAACCTAAAACAAAAGAAACTGTTATAACGGCGTATTGTATTGATTGAGGAGCAATTGATTTGAGATTATGATCGATTTTGCTACAAACCAAAAAACAAACATAAACTATTACCTGGACCATAACAGGGGTAGTCACCGGTTATTGGGTTATACACGGAAATTTCTTAAGCCGCCAACATTGCTTAAAATACATGCTTACCTGGTGTTGATGGGAATATACCAAACTTCAATCGGTAGTTTACGGTGGCAAATTCGAAGTTTCGACCTGTGATTGCACCATTCGACTTCCCTCAATCGCCTGATGCCTTCTCGATCTAATGAAGACGACGATGAGGACCGAAGTCCCTTTCTCAACCCTCCTTGTGAATCTGTTTGACCCTCACTAGTGCCCTTGATTTTTGACTGCTCCCATTCGATCGTTCCTTATATATAGAGACGGCGACAGAGGAGAAGTTGGTAGCGATCCGTAGGTTGTAGACGATTATTTTTAGAGAAAATGGGAAATCGGTTGTCTCACTTAAGAGATTTGATCCATAAATCAAGGGATTTAATTTTGGTAATTATTTACTTTATATGCAAAATTACATATCTAGCCTTATCTTGATTATTTAAGTATTTATTTTTTCCTGAATTCCTATTGGTGCATTTATGCACACAATAGTTGTCAAAAACATTTGAACCTCTCTCTCTCTCTCTCTTATATATATATATATATATATATATATATATATATATATATATATATATGTTTTATTCAAAATATTCATTCATCAACATATATGTTGTATTTACATATGAATATAAACATAACTTGCTGTCATACATACATTATTCAAATGTGAATGCAACAAAAATGACTTATATATGTTCTATTCACATGTGAATATAGCAAAACATATCATATGTGAATAAAAAAAATATGAATATATATATATATATATATATATATATATATATATATATATGTTTTATTCAAAATATTCATTCATTAACATATATGTTGTATTCACATATGAGTATAAACATAACTTGCTGTCATACATACATTATTCAAATGTGAATACAACAAAAATGACTTATATATGTTCTATTCACACGTGAGTATAACAAAACATATTCATATGTGAATAAAATAAATATGAATATATATATATATATATATATATATATGTGTGTGTGTGTGTGTGTGTGTGTGTTTTATTCAAGATATTCATTCATGAACATATATGTTGTATTCACATATGAATATAACAAAACATTTTCATATGTGAATAGAAAAAATATGAATATATATGTTTTATTCAAATATTCATTTGTCAATATCAAACTCATTTATCTTCTACTTACTATTGAATGAAGGTAAGAACACTATCATTTCCGATAAAGTTTCACCAACAATCAGAGAAACAAGATCAATGCAGAAAAATCAAAAAGGTATAAAATACATATCATATCTTTTAAATAAATAAACTATATTCATTTATTAATATAATATATTTTCTTTGTAAAATGTATTTCAAAATTATTTATCTTTTACTCACTAATTCATGAAGGTAAGAAGATTTGTAATTTTGATAAAGACCCCACAACAATGATAGAAACAGATTTGAAGAGGAAAAATGCGAAAGGTACAAAATTCCTATCATATCTAAATATATTAATATATAAATAAAATTGTATATCTTAGTTATATTTTTGTAATAAATAAATATTAATAAATCAACGAGCATATATCATATTCATATATCAATAGCTTATTCAAATATTATATGTTTCATTTCCGAGATAAAAAAGAAACAAAAACACCAAAGAAAATAAAGCATCAAAGCAGAAAAACCCCATCAAAAAGGAAAACTCCTGAAAAACGACAACAACAAGATTTAGAATCTGATTTTGAAAGTAGTCGTCCATCAAAAAAAAAGTCACCAATCAAAAAAGACAAAAAAAAAAAAACAGTGGTAAAGAAATTTTACTCAATGAAAAACAGATGTTCACCAGAGTCATTGCTATCTATAATCCTTGGTTTGAGCAAAGAACAAAAACAATGTGTAAGATCTATGGGTTTTGGAGCTTTGTTAAAAATGAAGATCACAGATATACCACTGAAGCTGGGATTTTATATTCTTCAAAAACTTGATTTTGAGAGAATGGTGATAGATATTGAAGGAAAGAAACTGAAAGTAACAGCAGAGTCTGTTCATGACATGTTGGGCATACCAATTGGTGGAACCATACTTACAAAGCTGGATCAATGGCCTAAGGATGACACAAGTTATGATGAATGGAAGCAACAATTTAAAAAGATTCAATCATCCAACTGAGTGCAATAAAAAATGTTATTGTTTCTACCACACAAGCTGGTTTTAATTTCAAATTGAACTTCTTAGTTCTTTTTGTCAACACGTTTTGTGAGTCAACATCAATGGGAATATGCAACTTGTTTCCTTTGAGTTACATTTCAAGAAAAACATATATCAGCAACATAGACTGGTGCAGCTATGTTTTCGACTATCTTGTCAAAACAAAGAACTCATACATACCATACTCGGATAACAACTTCTTTGTTGGGCCTTCAGCTTTCTTGGTTGTAAGTTATTATAATGTTTATACTCAATTTTTAATAATATTGATTATTCATAAACTAATAGCACATATTCATATATGAATAATAAAAGTATACTTGTTCACACGTAATGATTTACATTACTTATTCATATATGAATAAGTCATTACTTATTTATATATGAATAAGTAAAAAATAATATTACTTCTTCATATATGAATATCAATTAGTTATCATTCATGTGCAGTTGTTCTATGCTGATAACATCCACTCAAAAGCTTTGACAGTCACACGTAAATGTCCAACAATTTTTTATTGGAGTTCAGAGAAAATCAGATATCGAGAGGCATTTGAAAAAGAAAAAGGTAGATTTGGACTTGGAGAAATAAATGAAGAATTTGTTGATGAACAAGATGAAGGAGATACAGATCTCGAAGACAATGATTATGATAAAGATGAAGATCATTATGTTGAGGTAACTAGTTTGTGTTGGATTAGTGTCTAACTCCATAACTATTTTGGTATGTACTTGACCCGATGGTGCATGGTCCTTTTGGGTTGCCTTCACCAAAGCAACTTGATTGGAGAAATGAATAAAGAGAGAGAGGATAATATGATTTATTAATATGTTATAAGAATAATATATTAAAGGAGAAATCATATTTGTTTAATTAATATTTGTCAATAATTAATTAAGAATTAGTTTTGTGATCAAATGTAATTAATTAAACTAGAGGGGCTGATTTGTAATTATGTGATAGTTACAAAATAAGGTAAGGATTATCTTATTTATATGGTGGACGAATTTAAGGTTGGAAAGCCTTAGAATTCGAGTATGATAAGGATTCAAGGATTATCTTATTGGTTGCTTAATGGATAATCAACTAGATAAGGATAATGACTGAAACCCTATCTCTACACCTATATAAACACCCCTAGGGTCATGAATTCGTGTATCCCTTCCCAAGAGGTCCTAGATACGAATTCTAACCTCTCACTTCTCTCTTTATACCTTCTCCATTTGCTTATGGTGTTTGTAAGCCATTAAAGGAGTGACACTTGTGACTCTAAGCATTCCAAAGTCAATACAAGGAGGAATTGGGATTGTTATTGCTACATAACAATCAAGGTATGTTCTTAAACCTAATTACATGTTAATATGATTACTTGCATGCTAGAATTAGGGTTTATAGTCTTGGATTCAAAGCATGTACAATAGAGAAACCTAGATCCGAGCATTAGGGTTTGTATGAGCACATAGGATGTCTTATGACCAAAACCCATCAGTTTGAACATGTTAATAATATATGATTACATTAAATTATTATATTAAATTCTAATCATATACTTCTTTTTGTTACATAGGCATATGAATCAAAATATCAAAATTGCTTAATAGTTTTAAGAGTATGAAGGAAAAGCTGAATTCAAAGTTTAATGATGCGATGACAAAGTTCCCAGAAAAGGAAAGTTTTAGAATTTTCAAAGAAAAGATGACAAATATGATTGTTGAAGAAAAAACTGAAAGCTCAACACTTTTTAATTTTCCAAGTAATGAAACTGGAGTTGAAGGAATCAATTTGACACCAATAATGGGTCAAAAAACAAATGATCAAAAAGAAAATGAAGATAAAGAGGGAAATGGTGAAGAAGACGGTGATAATGATGCAAGTCAACCAGAAGTAGATTATTTGCTTGACTCAAATGAAGCAGAGAATGAAGGAATAAAGAATGATGCAGATAAGAATAAAAAAGAAGGTGAAATTGGAGTAAAAGAGAAAGATGGAAAGAGGAATGAAAATGAGAATGATGAAGAGGAAAAAGATGATCATGCTGAGGAAACAAACAATTATGAAAAGAGTATTCAACAAACTGAAAATGAAAATTTGTTGGATAAAGTTGTTGACAACATTGTGGATAATGTCATTGGAGTTGGAATTTCAAGTTTAAATAGTCAAGAAAATGAAATCTGGAATGATCCTGAAATGAAAACTATTTTGGATAATATTGATATAGGTAAATTTTGTCTTACTTTTATTTTAAAAATATATAAAAATATTAATACACAATAACAATTTTGTTTATTAAATTTTGACCAGGGTCACCAATGAGTAGAAATACTCTTGCAGAAAAGGAAAAATCAGAAGTTGAAAAAACAAAGGCAGATGATACTCTTGCGGAAAAGGAAAAATCAATAGGTGTACACGAAGAAGGAAAATAAGTTGAAAAAACAAAGAGAGATGATAAAGGTAAATGGATGATTTAAAATATATTACAATATTTATATTTATTTTTTAAATAACATTGTTTATTTATAAGTGAATAATAAACTATATAAATGAGTAAAAATAAAAATATTCATATATAATGTATAAAGGAGGAGCAGAAGCTAAGAACACGAAAGATGAAGGAGAAGATAAACAAAAATAAATTGAGAAAGGAAATGCAGAAGATAAAGGTAAATAGTTGAATCACTAATAAATGAATATAATAAGTTTTATTATTCACAAATAAATAACACAATATACAAAAAATTTGAACAATGTTTTATTCATATATGATTATATAAAATTAATTATTCATAAATAATTGTATGCATTACTTATTCATAAATGAATACATTACTTATTCACAAATTGATAACTTGATCAAATTTCTTTATCTTTCAGGAAAGAAAAAGTCAGAAAATGAAAACAATGAAGGACAAAAAGATGACAAGACAAAAGCAAATGAAGGAGGTAACAATTTGGAAAAAAAATTCAAAATATAAAAATAATATTATAATTAACATACAACTATTTACATGATAAATCTTGTAACGCCCGTAGATCCGGGCTAGTCAATTTAGAAGCAATAGGGGTCGAAAACGACTTTTCGACAAAAGATTATTTAGAATATTCTAACCAAGTTGTAGAATATATCTCAAGGTTTCCGTACATATAAAGAACGCCGAAATCCGAGTTATAACGAAGAAGTTATGACCCGTTAAAGTTTCGCGACCGAACCGGTACGATACCGGGAAGTGTAAATAGTGAATTTACGATAGAGCGATATTTAGCCTTCGCAATCTAAATGAAAGTCGTAGAATATGTTAAACTAAGAACATCGATAAAAAGAACACCAAAATCTGACTTCGTTATTATGTGATTATCCTTACCTAAATAGAAGATAATTGTCAAAATTTAGATAATCACTTGTTTTATTAGATAAAGTTTGATTATTTGTAATTTAGATTTGAATTATCTTGTGAAATAGTTTCAATTTATCCCTTTAGGTTTTATAGTTTAAATTTGAACCCCAAAAGTTTTGTTGTTTTGAAATTTAAATAGTTAAAACCCTAATGTTTTGAAAAAGGTTTCAAAACTTGCCCTCAAGCTTTGGAATTTAAATTTTGATTGAATAGTTTAATTTTGATGCATATTTAAATTCTAAACCCTTATGGTTTGAAATGTTTCAAAAACTTGCCCTCAAGTTTTGGAATTTAAAAGTTGATTAAAAGGTTTAATTAGAAATGTTAAATTCTAAAACTCTAGTAATGTTTTGAAAAGTTCAAATCACACCCTTATGGTTTTATTAATTAATTAAGGAGTATACTTAAAAGAGGTTTAATAAATCCATAAAAGTTTAGGTTAACCATTTAATTGAATTAAAAGTATAATTCTTAAAGTTAACCATATAGTATTTTAAAAGTATAAAATACACCCTATACTATATATAACATTAAAGGTCTAACATTATATATATGTATGAGTAAAAGTCAGTCTTACCGTTAGTAGGCCTCATTCACGAAGCTGGTCTATAAGGGGTGTTTAAGGAAATTGCCTATAAAATGGCGATTGAATGGGTATCCACTCTTACCCACCGCACTCTTGACTAGTGGAGGGTCGTTAGCCGAACGGGTAGGATAGGACGAAGGCCTTCCATTATAAGTATAATGAGATACAAAGTAACTAAATGTTTTTCAAATTCCCAATCTTAGTTACTTAGGAAAAAGTGAATTGATGCAATTCCATGAAATTACACTTTGTGCCCTTGCGAAGAAGTTAGTGGAGCGTGTGTGGTTTACCGGCACACTAAATGGTTCTAAGCAAAGGTAGCAAAGGGTGACTCAATGTTTGTCATAGTTCGGTGGAGCGTGTGTGGTTTACCGGCACATCGAATAGGTGATTGTAACATGTGAGGGCACCATGTAGTTTGCATGGTTATTCACACCCGCTTTGTGATCCTCGGCATCCCAGTCACAAACAAGAGGGGCATATCGAGATTTAAACATGCCATTGAAATGTTCAATGAATCTCAAAGGATCTAGGAGTTTTCATAGATTTAAAACTTAAATTTCTTTTTCGTTTTTCATGGTGGAAACTAGTGAATCGTCATTCACTTACCTTCAAATGTTCTGCAATTTGGGTTACGACATCCCTCTCCCGAGTTGTAGGATATTGTGTTGGGTCCTAGCCTTGGAATTTCATTTGGGTGATTTACCAAGGACTCAATCAATCAACTAACTTGAATTCGTTTTTCTCCCGATATCAAAGTTCGACAACTATGGTCTTCTCAAATCCCGTGGAACAAGCATTCCACATGAAGATGATATTCCACGATTCGATCGAGGAACAAGAAATTATGCTTCACTTCCTCCTCCTCCTCCAATTATTCTCCCTAACCCACAAGATTGTAAAATTGAAAGGTTCAATATCACTCAAGCCCTTTTGGCAAGTAAACATAAAGAAGGCAAGTCGGTGTGTGCGCACGTCTTAGGGATGAAGTCACACATTGATAGGTTAAGAATGATGGGATCCGTTGAGATGGCTGTTGATTGGGTTCTTCAATCACTTCCTAACTCATATAGTGAGTTCGTAAGAGAGTACTATATGATGAACCGCGACGTGACCCTTATAGATCTCACCTATATGCTTATTGCTACTGAATCAGCAATGGTTTGGCGCAATAGAAAAGCAAATTTGATTGGTGAATCTGCCTTCGAGACCTCTATGGATATAGACAATGGCAATGAAAGACATGCAATGATCGAAAAGTTTGATCATAAGAGAAAGGCGATGTCTGAAGTAGTTCCATGTGTTGTTCCAAAAAGAGTCAATTTGCTTTTATTGCCAAGAGAAAGGGCATTGGAGACGAAGCTGCCCTATTTACCTAAGAGATCTAAGAGATGGGAGAGTCGAAACGTATGGCTCTAATTTAGGTAAAATCCATTGACTAACTCTTTTAAGCTTCATTCTAGATTCTGAATACATAATGTGATAAGATTACAATTGATGTTTAGAAGGATCAAAGAAAAGAAAAGAAGCTTAAGGGAAGAAGTGAGCAGAATCTAACCGTGAAGGAATGGATTTCGATTGCGTTTCTCGAAGATTAGATTCTTGAGCTACTACTTAGAGTTAGAATTAGATTGCTAAGAAAGATGTATTCGCATAAGTTTTTCAATGAGTTGCATTGTGAAGGACAAATTTTTTCCGCAATAAAATAAATTTTGATTTTAAATTTTATTTATTTATCCTTACAATGGCGTGTATGAAAAATTGATGTTAAAATTATTAGCAATAATGGATTTGTTTCTTATTGTGTTATGGAAAGTCAAGAATTTACCAAATAGGGAGAGTTTCTCATCGCCCAAGTTTCAATTGGACAGAAACTTGGAATCATGCAACTTGGTTGCATGATGAATGAGAAATTTCATATTTGATAATTAGACTAATTCGTTGACAAAGTGTCAAGTGAAGGACTAGGAGATCGAGTACACAAAGTTGTGTGTTGATCAAGTTCACCATAAGAATAACAAAGATATTCGTCATGATTTACTAAAAGGCTTAGTAAATATGATTATACTTATAAGATTAAGTGTAATTTTGAATTTATTAAAGGGTTTAGATCAATAGCAAAACGAATAAGAAGAATCAAGTAGGCAGAAAGATAAGAGTTTCTCCATTCTAAGAAGAAGGAAGAGTAGCTTTTATGCTTTATAATAGGTCTTAATGATTAAGAACCATATCTCAATTGATCCTCTAAGTGAGTCTTGGTACAATTGTATGTCCAAGAAGAGGAATCAAATATTGAAGAAATGGTCAAATCAAGAAGTCAATCATGCTGCGTTCCAAAACAAGTCTTAAAGTCAAGATTATGACATTGAGTGAATAGTATTAAGAAGGTTTATAACATTCATCAATTGTGGAAAGTTGTGATGTCTTGGATAAGACAAAGACCAACTAAGACCAAAATTATGAAGTGTTTTGTTTTGATAAAAGCTACACTAACTCTTGAATATTTGTTTGTCAAGAAATGTTTTGATAAGAGAATCGTATATGTCAAGGAGTCAGTGGGAGTCTTAATATTCTTGAAAAGTTTCAAGAACAAATCAAATAAACCTTATCGATCATCATTAGCACACGAGTTGAGGTTTACAACCTATCGTGAAGACATTATTTTGTTTCTGTGCCAATCCAATCGAGTTAATTATGCATATGAGTCCTATGAGTTCTCATTTGAATGCATAAAAGGCAAGGACCTTGATCAATGGAAAGTACATTGATAGGAAAAAGGTGAGCTGCTTAACTACTTGGAATACGTGGTGGGCAGCTGTGCTACCATAAGGCAAGAAATCAAGATTAAGGAAGTTCGATCCATATGAGTTTGAATTTGTCGTAAACTTTGGTTTTAACAAATTCACATGGATAGGAACACATACACCGTTTAAATCTAAGTGTCATAAGATTTCCTCCTTCATGAAAATGATTGTGAGAAAATGCTTTCACTAAGAAAGATTTTAAAAGATAGTGATTGTAAAATTGCATTCTCGAATTCGATCATGGTTACGACATCCCTTTCCATAATTTGAATTGTGAGGTTTGGCAATTAGTCTTAATTGTTAAGACACACATATGAACTATATAAGGCAAAAGTGTATAAGTTCAAGAAGCCTTGATAAAAGATTATCAAAGCACTAAGTATTAGAAACATGAACTTAAGAAATTCAATAAGTATTGTTTTTCTGAAAGTTAAGATGTTTATGAATACATGTCGAAGCTAGTGGGAGCATAAGTGTTATGTTTTATAATAATCATCATGATAGTGGGAGCATAAATGTTATGATTGTATGATTATTAAGGCACGTATTGCATAGTTGGCAATATTAATTATAGAAAACAAGAATCATACTTTGCAAAGTTGTAAGAGTTGAAAGGTTGTTTTGCTATAATTAAGGGAGAGAATATTATGCTTCATTTCAAAGGTACATAGTGTGTTCTTAAAATTTCGATTGTGATTACGGCATTCCTCTTCGCAATTTGAATTTTGAGAACATAGCAAATAAAACATTATGCGTCGTGTCCCATACGCTTCGGGTATAGGATTGATTGCAAATGCTTTAATGTTTGACCATTCTAAAATTTTCCAAATGTATAGTGCATTTAGAGGGAAAAGGGACTAGAATTGGTTTTGACTAAAATAATTAAACAACTATCAAAGGACAATCCAAAGTTCGATGAGGATTGGTCGCTTGTGAGTAGTTGGAAGTATAGTATTGGAAATTATGGAAGTGTTTCCATATTGGATGGACAATATCGACATCATTACGAATAGATAAAATTCTATTAATAATGAGTTTTCATATGGAAAATATGGAAGTGTGTCCATGTTGGGAAGTAAACATTGAAAATCTATGTCTAGATTAGAAACTTTTATGCAAAAGGATGTTCAAAGGAATGTAATTTGAGTGAGAGACATCATATCTAAGGAATTGTCTTGTAACAATCTCCGATAGAGGAATTTGTAATATCATTGGCAATAGTCTTTGTGACTTTGGTGCAGTGACATTACGAAAAGATCGTTGCATAAAGTGTTAGAATCTAATATATTCTATAAGTAACAAGAATTTGATATTCTTACACTTAAGAAAATGGATTTGGAGTTGTAAAATGAGAATGATTGGAAATGTGTTCAATTTGTCTATTTCACAAAAGTAAGAACCATAGGTAAACATTGTGTGCATGCTAGGAGCATGGGACAAGTTTTGGAATTCAAATGCGAAGTTGATTACCCGAAACGACAAATAATGAGTAATCGATATGGTGATAAATAAAACGTGTTTTGTTTATACTCAAAGGTTTGAGGCCATATGGGATTAGTATTATTCTTGTGTTTCACCTTGCATGTTTTGACTTCCAGAATAATTGAGTTTATTAAGAATAATCGAATTATTCAAACGGGCCACAGTCGTTCATATGTTGGAAGTAGATATGAATGAAGATTGTCGTGAATTGGTGTGTGGATTGTCTAAAAGAGTATTAAACATAAGCAAATGTTTGCTGCAACGTTCATGAGTGCTTACGAATATGATTTGAGCATTGGATTAAACCCACGCTCACTTGGATCACTCCATGAATTGTATTACGAGTGATTGGTGAGACGATAACATCTTATATTCTTGAAACCGAGATGTGTGAGTTGTATCTTGCGAATCGGTTGCACATTGATAATATGTAAACGCACCAGTAACTTGGTGTTATAAAACATATTGTTGTGTGTAATTCGGTGAGTGAGTTCAAGCAAGCATTGTATCAAAGTTTATCCGTTCCTTTTATCCAAAGTAGGATAAAAGCGATATCTTTGGGCCCCTCGATGGTTTAGTGATGACATACGTAAATGCTCGGCCGGGCTAGGGCTAATTTGATTTGTTCAGTTAGTCTGTCGTCATAAATCAGAAATTGAGATATAGTACAAAGAGAATGATTAGAAATCATATCTCATACGATATCTAGAATGGAGGAATATATGATCCCTTATCTAAGGACACGCGTATCTGATATGATCAGAGTTGATAGCGGCTTTGGAAAGCTACGATTGCAGATCGGGATCTGAAGTCATATGCAGAATAGTTATTAGACTTATCCAAGTGGGAGACTGTTGGATTAGTGTCTAAGTCCATAACTATTTTGGTATGTACTTGACCCGATGGTGCATGGTCCTTTTGGGTTGCCTTCACCAAAGCAACTTGATTGGAGAAATGAATAAAGAGAGAGAGGATAATATGATTTATTAATATGTTATAAGAATAATATATTAAAGGAGAAATCATATTTGTTTAATTAATATTGGTCAATAATTAATTAAGAATTAGTTTTGTGATCAAATGTAATTAATTAAACTAGAGGGGCTGATTTGTAATTATGTGATAGTTACAAAATAAGGTAAGGATTATCTTATTTATATGGTGGACGAATTTAAGGTTGGAAAGCCTTAGAATTCGAGTATGATAAGGATTCAAGGATTATCTTATTGGTTGCTTAATGGATAATCAACTAGATAAGGATAATGACTGAAACCCTATCTCTACACTTATATAAACACCCCTAGGGTCATGAATTCGTGTATCCCTTCCCAAGAGGTCCTAGATACGAATTCTAACCTCTCACTTCTCTCTTTATACCTTCTCCATTTGCTTATGGTGTTTGTAAGCCATTAAAGGAGTGACACTTGTGACTCTAAGCATTCCAAAGTCAATACAAGGAGGAATTGGGATTGTTATTGCTACATAACAATCAAGGTATGTTCTTAAACCTAATTACATGTTAATATGATTACTTGCATGCTAGAATTAGGGTTTATAGTCTTGGATTCAAAGCATGTACAATAGAGAAACCTAGATCCGAGCATTAGGGTTTGTATGAGCACATAGGATGTCTTATGACCAAAACCCATCAGTTTGAACATGTTAATAATATATGATTACATTAAATTATTATATTAAATTCTAATCATATACTTCTTTTTGTTACATAGGCATATGAATCAAAAATATCAAAATTGCTTAATAGTTTTAAGAGTATGAAGGAAAAGCTGAATTCAAAGTTTAATGATGCGATGACAAAGTTCCCAGAAAAGGAAAGTTTTAGAATTTTCAAAGAAAAGATGACAAATATGATTGTTGAAGAAAAAACTGAAAGCTCAACACTTTTTAATTTTCCAAGTAATGAAACTGGAGTTGAAGGAATCAATTTGACACCAATAATGGGTCAAAAAACAAATGATCAAAAAGAAAATGAAGATAAAGAGGGAAATGGTGAAGAAGACGGTGATAATGATGCAAGTCAACCAGAAGTAGATTATTTGCTTGACTCAAATGAAGCAGAGAATGAAGGAATAAAGAATGATGCAGATAAGAATAAAAAAGAAGGTGAAATTGGAGTAAAAGAGAAAGATGGAAAGAGGAATGAAAATGAGAATGATGAAGAGGAAAAAGATGATCATGCTGAGGAAACAAACAATTATGAAAAGAGTATTCAACAAACTGAAAATGAAAATTTGTTGGATAAAGTTGTTGACAACATTGTGGATAATGTCATTGGAGTTGGAATTTCAAGTTTAAATAGTCAAGAAAATGAAATCTGGAATGATCCTGAAATGAAAACTATTTTGGATAATATTGATATAGGTAAATTTTGTCTTACTTTTATTTTAAAAATATATAAAAATATTAATACACAATAACAATTTTGTTTATTAAATTTTGACCAGGGTCACCAATGAGTAGAAATACTCTTGCAGAAAAGGAAAAATCAGAAGTTGAAAAAACAAAGGCAGATGATACTCTTGCGGAAAAGGAAAAATCAATAGGTGTACACGAAGAAGGAAAATAAGTTGAAAAAACAAAGAGAGATGATAAAGGTAAATGGATGATTTAAAATAAATTACAATATTTATATTGATTTTTTAAATAACATTGTTTATTTATAAGTGAATAATACACTATATAAATGAGTAAAAATAAAAATATTCATATATGATGTATAAAGGAGGAGCAGAAGCTAAGAACACGAAAGATGAAGGAGAAGATAAACAAAAATAAATTGAGAAAGGAAATGCAGAAGATAAAGGTAAATAGTTGAATCACTAATAAATGAATATAATAAGTTTTATTATTCACAAATAAATAACACAATATACAAAAAATTTGAACAATGTTTTATTCATATATGATTATATAAAATTAATTATTCATAGATAATTGTATGCATTACTTATTCATAAATGAATACATTACTTATTCACAAATTGATAACTTGATCAAATTTCTTTATCTTTCAGGAAAGAAAAAGTCAGAAAATGAAAACAATGAAGGACAAAAAGATGACAAGACAAAAGCAAATGAAGGAGGTAACAATTTGGAAAAAAAATTCAAAATATAAAAATAATATTATAATTAACTTACAATTATTTACATGATAAATCTTGTAACGCCCGTAGATCCGGGCTAGTCAATTTAGAAGCAATAGGGGTCGAAAACGACTTTTCGACAAAATATTATTTAGAATATTCTAACCAAGTTGTAGAATATATCTTTAGGTTTCCGTACATATAAAGAACGCCGAAATCCGAGTTATAACGAAGAAGTTATGACCCGTTAAAGTTTCGTGATCGAACCGGTACGATACCGGGAAGCGTAAATAGTGAATTTACGATAGAGCGATATTTAGCCTTAGCAATCTAAATGAAAGTCGTAGAATATGTTAAACTAAGAACATCAATAAAAAGAACACCAAAATCTGACTTCGTATGAAGAGGTTATGATTTTTCGAAGTTTCAGATTAGTAGTGTACAGCCCGAAATTCGAATGTTAGATCGAGCAGTTTTTAGCCAACACGACCTAAACGAGAATTGAATATATCGATAAGAGTAGCGTAACGAGAAAAAGATGGGCGAAAACGGACATCGGATGAAGAAGTTATGAGAATTTAATGGATCAATCCTGTCCCGGTCTGTTAATAATATAAAATTTAAAATGGAATCGGAATTAGCCGATGGAGTCTAAACGAAAGTTGTAGACTACGTTCCCTCCTTCGCGTGGATATAAAGAACATCGAAAACGGAGGTCGTACGCAAAAGTTACGAATTTTTGAAGTTGTAACTTGAATTTGCGAAGTTGATGACGTAGCGCGTTGTGGGCCGTTCATCGTTGATCAAAGGATGCTTCAGATTCGGACACGCCTCCCTTCGCATTACGCCCCGCGTACCTCCGGCCTTATCCTTCCGAGTCCGAGTGCGAGCCAGCTGGTGCAAGCTGGCAACCATATCCGAGCTACGCCCAGCGTAGCGCTGCTGGATGCCCAACGTAGACCGAGGCTTCACGCCTATAAAAGGGGTCCGAAGGCAGCCGGTTTTTCACACCAAAAATCAACTCTTTCTCTCACTAATTTCTCTCTCTAAGTATCCCAAACCCTCCTAAACCCTAGGAAAACCCCTTAGCTCCCGAGGGAAGCCCCGAGGCTCCCGGAGTCCCGAGAAAAAGGGTTTTTCGGTTTTGAAACACTGCTCCAAATAAAGTTCCGGTTTTCGATAAAATTCGCTGTAAGTGAGCTACGCTTATGCAATTTTTAATATAGCTTTCGAATAATTATAAGAATGTTATTAGGTCCTTAAAATAATTATTTGGGCTATTATTATGAGTTATATTGAGTGTTATTAACGCTTATATAATAATAATAATAGTCAGACTAATTAATTTGTCGCGGTTATCGTTAGACTAAACCCTAGTGGTATTGGTAGTAGGTTTTATCGAAGGAAATTGTTTTGAGAGTATCGAAGCGCTGTCCGAGTGCTGAGTCACCACCTTTCAAGTGAGTGCATGGTCCCCTTCATCTTACACATAGATATGAAGTATTTTATTATAAATTACGTGTTATGTGCGCATATTGTTTGAATACTTGCTATCTATGCTGGTGAAAGATTTTTATACATGTTTTAAATGATGTAAACTGTATAAAGTATTTTATATCTACAAAATATGTTGGGTAAAACATGGGTAGATGAATGATGAGGGATAAAATCTGAAATAGAGGAACATTAGTAGCATGGACCTAGTGCCCTATAGGTATACATTGGCAGCAGTGGACCTAGTACCCTATAGATGAGCACTGGCAGCTGCGCCACAACCCGTAGATGTTTCAGATCTACGGTAAACGTCCTAGCAGCTGCGCTCTAAGGATAGTATAGGCAGCTGTGCCTAATAGGGAGCCTTATGACCATGACAGTAGCGTTTAAAGGTCAATACCGACAGAAGCGCCTCATAGAAAATGTCCCAATTCTGGCAGTTGCGCCTAAGTGACCAGATTAGCAGTTGCGCTTGACCAATGTGTCATTGGAAACAATGGACTTCATGTTATTTCCTTAGGATGATCCTTAGGAATGAATGAATGAGAAATAGCTGATTCTTAGGGTAGATCCTTAAGAATAAAGAAGATAATGGGGATGGGTAATTGGGTTGATTGTTTGATTGTTTAAACATAATAATTATATTATTGTGAGTTGGAAACCCTATGTACTCACCAGGTTTCCCAACCTGACCCACTTAGTTTATTTATATCACAGGTGTTGATATGAAGTCACATTACACTGAGAGATTTAAAGAGATGTAGATCACTAGTGTAAATAAAATGTAAGTTCTGTTTATGCTTATGTTTCTGTATTAACGATGACATCCCAAACGTTTTGAAACGAATAAATATGTTTCTTCGAAAATGTTCTAATAACGTATTTATCATGTTTTTCTGGGAACAAATTCCGCAACATTTTTATTAAAAGAAGAACTCTGATTTTTATAAAGCATAAACAAAATCGGTCTTTTCTGGCCGTGAAAATGGGGATGTCACAAATCTTATGGCATGCAGATACTCATCCAAGTTTCAGTCTAGGTCTCAGTCAAGATTCAAATCAAACTTCAAGTAAAAAATCTAATGAATCTTCACCAAAAAAAGAACTTACAAAGAAACAATTAAAAGACCACCATCAGAAAGTTGTTATCATATTAGCAAACAAAAACATTCTTAATCCAAAACCAATCTCTATAGCAATTCCTACTGACATCAATCATGATCTGGATGAACCAAGAGAGAAGAAGCTTGCCGATGCTTTCAAATCACCTTTTAAATGCAGAATAATAGACACAAAACTTAAACTGACACATCAGGAGAGTATTGTTTGTGAGTGGTTGTTCAACTTGCAAGGGAATACATCGTAAGTAACTTTATTTTATAGACATTCATATATGATTATTATATACATAATAATGTATGACATTTTGATTATATATATTTGCAGAGATGTGCTTGTCCAGACAAAATATGGTTAGGTAACAGAAAGAGCAGTTATGGAAAGTCTATATGCAAACATAGAGGTTTTTGGAGAAGTTTTAGACACTTGGGTTGATTTACTTAACCACCAAGAACTGGAAAGGGATTTTGGAAATTCACCATACAGACTCTTCTTGAAAGTTGTAGTTTCTGTAAGTTTATGTTCTAAACTTAATTTCTTCTTTATTGATAAATGAATACACCAATATCATGTATTCATTTGTGAATATTATATTTTTATACAACTGAAATTCACATATGATTATACCATAATAAAAAATAAATATCTTTAGTATATACTTATGATTTTTATACCAACATGATGTATTCATTTATGATTAAAAAATTACTAATCCATAAAAATTATAATGGTTACAGAGTGCTTATCTATACTCAACATTGTCTGATGAAAAAAGTATGAAAAATTCAAGGAGAACTTTCATGACAGTACCGATGGGTACAAAAAAATCTTGAACATCAAAGATATTGACATGGTACGTTAATTAAACTTGTTTTTTATATATATATTTTATCAATAAAATACTTACCATTATATACCTAAAAACAGGTATTCTTTCCAGTTGTTATAAGTGCTCACATTTTTGTGATTGTCTTCAACTTAAAGAAACCATCAATTGAAATTCTGGACAACAGTGCAGTTGAGGGGGATTATGAAGCGAAATACGGAGTACTATTGAAGCCTTTGGTATGTACCTTATTCACAACAACATAAAAGAACAAATTTATTACATATCTAACTTTTATTTTATTTAATGATCAAAAAAATTTGTTTGTGAGATACTTTAATGAAATAAACCATCCAAGAGCAAATGCAATCTCGAAAGAAAGTATCACACCCCAACGACTTCAAATGTTGTGGAGACCAATTAAAAACAAAATTAATTGTGGGATCTTTGCAATGTGACATATGGAGACCTATATGGGACAACCACTCTCAAAGTGGAAACCAGGTCTTCATAAAGAAAGTGCACTTCAACAAACTACTTTGGAGAAGCTCAGAAAAAGGTATGCACACCGAATGCTAACTTCTGAAATTAACATGTTGAAGGCTAAGATGTTGGATCTTGCTGAAAAATATCAAAAAGTTGACTTCAAAGTGCGTACTGATCATGCATATGAGGCTATGGAAACAATTCAAAAAAGGTTAAAAGAATATTGATGATTGCTTGTGATGAAGTGTGATGCAATAGAACAGTTTTTGTTGAAGATGAATGAATTTGAAGTACATGTAAGATGATTATGTGAAACAAGTTTTCGATGGTTTGTTAAATGCTGTTGAACATCGTTTAAATAGTTTGTCAAATGCTTATGAACAAGTTTTATAATCTTGTGTTGAATGATTATGTAATAGAAACAAGTTTTCTTATTTCTGTCATTTTTTTTATATTCAAAGTTTTCTTATTCATGAATGAATACGAATATGATATATTTATTTATAAATATAACAAAATTCAGATATGAATATAACTTATTTAATAGTTTAGTTCTGTCTTTTTTTTTTTTTTTTTATATTCAGATATTTTCAAACTTTATTTTTGTTTATTCATATAAAATAATAAAAATAAATAAAAAAAATCCCATAAGCTTGCATACAACTTCAACATCCGTCTTTCTTTTCAATCCCGAATATGTATAATCACCCTCACACTCAAATTACTTCAACAAAATACTTATGAATATAACTTATTTATTACCATATGAATATAACAAACTTCATATATGAATATACATATTTGTATTTATTTATGGTATATTCATTTGTCAATTTTATTTAAGTTTAATCATAATTGAATACAAACATGTTATATTCATTTTCCTTTAATATGTAAATAATAACATCTTCAATGATAAATGAATCCACATATTATTGATATGGTAAATTATTCATTTATGAACAATTTACCATATCAAATATAACTTATTTTATAGTAATTTAAAAAACAAATATCAACATATCAATTTACCATATCAATATAAATGTGTATTATTCATACGTGAATATTATTGTTTATTGTTTTTATCTGCATATATTCATAAATGAATAAAACCATAAAAAATAAAAAAAATAAAAATCCCTAATTGTATTTTGCTAATTTAGCAGCTCCAACTCTTTCTGGACAAGTACGTAAATTGTGTGGAACTTGTTTTCCACATCCTAAACACATTCTATGTTCTTTTTTAGAATTTTCATATGCTACTTCACCTGCACTTGGAATTCTTTTCTTGATTCCAGAACCTTTATTGTTTTGAACTTCAGGAACATGAATATTAATCTCTTCTGGAATAGGAATAGTAACACCCAAAAGCTTGCATACGACTTCACCATCTGTCTTGCTTTTCAATCCAGGAGATATATAATCACTCTCAAATTCCTTCAACAACATTTGTTGTTTCTCAGCAAACAAAGCCAATTTCTTTTTGTCATCTCTTACAATATCCAAGCATGATTCAAAACTATAATATGAATCATTCACTAGCTTTACATTCTCACCATCACCTGAATCCGATTGAAGAGAACTAAAACGATAATTCCTTGATATCACATCCTTTCTCCATCTTTTCAAAATGTACCTTTCAGGAATTTCTTTAACACCACATCTCATCATTATTGTAAAATCATGTCTGCATAAAACACTCATACACTTAAAATGTTCACAACTGCAATTTATTTCTTTATCTTCAGCTTTTATTTGAACCTGATACAAAAACAAAATTTACACATTTACATTCATATAACAATACTCATATCAACACTCATATATTCATATATGAATATTCTCATATTCATATATGAATATTATTATATTTTTCATAAAAAACTAGTAAACTTACCTTAAATTCATTTTTAAATTCGCTTTTAGTGTTGTTGTGCTATACAATGTAAACTTACCAACCATCTTTAATACCAACATATGAGTATGTACAGAAAAAACATACTTTATATATTTCTTTTTGCAACTCAAAATATAATGTACTTGTATAAACCTTTGATGCTTGCAGTTATGTTTCTCGAAGTGTTTGCATTTTATATGATGCTTTCTTTGATGCCTTATCAAGCTCTTGTTGAGTATTCCTTTGCTTTTGAATAGAAATGTCGTAATTCATCATGAAATTCAAAAGTAAGTTCCCACTTTCTGAGTATGTATTAAATAATGAATTCATACTCTCTGACCTAGACGTAGTCTTCATCAAACTACACATTGGAATATCCTTAAAATATCCAAGTATCCATGAATCACGTTGCATAAGCAAACCCCATTTCACCTCAAAAACATCAGGTTTCATATTAATGTCCCAAACAAGCTTCGAAAACCTTTTTCTAAAGTATGTGTTTGAAAATAAATCATCTGATATTTGTATTAAAACAAAAATATTCATAAATGAATAAATAATAATAAGTAAAATAACAATCAATATTCATAAATGAATATACCAATAAATAATATATTTCAAATATATTAAAATAATACCTTTTTTTCAACTTTTTCATTATATGCCACATACATAATTGGTGCTTTGAATTAGGAAACACATTCTCAATAGCTTGTTTTATTGCAGCATCTTTATCAGTTAAAACAAGTGTTGGTTCTTTCCCATGACTTTTAAGAAATGCTTTAAGCAACCAAGAGTAAGACTCAATACTTTCATTGCTTAGCGACCCCGATCCAGCAGTAACCAAGTTCTTATGATGGTCTATAGCAGTAAATGGAACAAAAACCATTCGATACTTAACACACAAAAAAAATTCATTAAACTCAATTTTTGATGTATTCATAAGTGAATATGAAAATATTCATCTATGAATACAGCTACAATATTTCAACAATAAAAACTGAACATTAAACATAAAGTTAAAAATATTCATATATGAATAAGATATAAAAAAAGTACATAGAATAACTTACTTGTTTGTTCGGAAAGTCGCATCAAAAGAGATAACATCACCAAATTCAGTATAATATGCCTTCTCCATTTCATCAGCCCAAAACATACAGTCCAAAACATCATCTTGACAACTGAACTCAAATGAGTAATTTGGATAGTGAGCTCGACGATCATTCATTGTGTTTACTATCATTTGAGCATATTTATAACCAATAACCCTGTTGATATCTCTCCTTAAATTTTTATAGTCAACTACTTTGGGCTTTACAAACTCATACCCACCTCTCAGACTTGACCTCAACTTATGAGCCATAGTTGGACCTATTTTTGACGTGGAAGCACGCACAATAAACTCTTTTTCTGAATATGACATTTGCCTCACTTTTTTTAAATCGCTTCTCTTCTCAAGTGGATGGTTGTGAAGTTCATCAAACTGAAAAACTTTATAATCTGGAGTTCCATACACAAATTCAAATACAATCTTTGCTTGACAACCAATAGATCTTGAATTTGAATTTTAATTCGTTTCCTCCTAACACCACTTGTACCCAATGTGTCACAAGATTTATTTTTCAGTTTGCCACCACGATTACATATAACATGTTTCTTCTTTATAATCTTGTTATCAAACCTTGCTTGCGTGCTCAATCTCACATCAAAACCACCAATCTCAGCATACTCAGAATACATTTTGATACCCAGCTTTAATGATTTGAAGATTAAACCCTTTAATGGAATAAGTTGAACAGGTACATCTAGCTTATAGACATGTTCTCCAATTATATCATTACAATATTGCGCATCATGTATTGAACTTGAAGATTCACCACCTAAAAAAATTATAAACTCTAAAAGATTATAACTTATTCATATATGAATAAAACGAAAAAAATAATAAATTTGAAATTACAATTATCACACTTTATTCATATATGAATAAGACAACAATTTATTCATACTAACATATTCATATCTGAATAAATGATAATCAACAAAATTTTAAACAACAAAATAATTCAATAACTCATACCTTCAAAAAATGAGTTTTTAGTATCTTCTTCTTCACTCTCACTCATAGAAGAATACAAATCACCATCAATAACACTAGAATTCGACATAATAAACCAAATGATTTGTATAAATAAACAAAAACAATCTTAATATCGAATATATCTCACAAAAAAAGTCGTAAAGATGAAAACCTGGTTAATTTCGAATATATCTCACCTCAACGTACAAAATATTTGAAAGAAACTTAAATCAAATCGACCAGATAATGTAATTAATCAATCTCTCTCAGTTTCATTTCGTAAAAACTAAAATGATATATCCGATTAAAGTTTAAATCAACTCCAATTTGAACAAATATCTCAAACTACATAACAAAAATACGATCAAATACCTCCAATACATATTCGAAACTTGATAATGTTGACAAAGAAATCCGATGAAATTGTAACATTCCAAAAATAAGACCCAAAATTTTTTGTTTTAATAATACTAAAATCATAACATCGAATGCCATATAATATAACCATACGTCGAATATCTCAAAAACCATATTAATGTATCAAATCAAAACTGATATCATGAACATGTGAAAAATATAAGAGTATAACTCCCAGGCTGAAACTGTGGTGTGTGCCATGCTATCATCTCGAGCCCTTCCCTTTGCTAGTTGAAGTACCTGAAACCAAAACTGAAACTGTAAGCACAAAGCTTAGTGAGCTCCCCCAAACTACCACATACCATACAAACATATAAGCAACTACTGGGCCTTGCCCACTGCATCGGACCGAAGTCCGGAACTAACCAAGGCCGTTCCCTCTGCATTGGACCGAAATCTGGAAACTGCATCGGACTGAAGTCCGGAACTAACCAGGGCCTTGCCCTCTACATCGGACCAAAGTTCGGAAACTGACTGGGACCTTGTCCCCTGCATCGGACCGAAGTCCGGAACTAACTACATCGGACCGAAGTCCAGAACTATATGGGACATTGTCCCCTGCATCGAACCGAATTCCGGAACTAACTGCATCGGATCGAAGTCCGGAACTATCTAGGACCTTGTCCCCTGCATCAGACCGAAGTCCAGAACTACTGAACATAGCATAGCATAAACATATCAACTAGCATAACAACATATTCTGCATACTGCATCGGACCGTAGCCTGGAACACTTAACACATAAATCCTATCTGAGCCACGAAGGCATCAAACATACTAACTACTACATCGGACCGAAGTTCGGAAACTACTGTTAACTAAACGGGC